ATTTTGTGTTCATTGTCAGTTTGTTGTTGTTGTTGTCTGTTGTTTATCTTTCGCTTTATTTGTGTCATTGTGCGTCTCTTTGTGGTCCGCTGTAAAACCATCCAGTCCCGGTCTTCCTGAGCCTCACTGAGCGCGCTCAGAAGCGGAGGACAAGCGCTGGTGTGTTGTGTGCTTTACCCAGAAGCCTTTGCGGCCGGAGACACACTGAGCGTCTCACTGGGGCCTGAATGCGCTCATTGTCTGCTCTGACCTCATTATCAGGTTTGTGTCGGACGCCGTGTGCTGACTCAGCGCTCCTCCTCCTCGCCGCTCTGAGTCGTCTTTAACCTCCGTTTGACCTTCAGAGCGGCGTGGAGACGTGAAGGTGGCGGCGTCTGGCAGACGTTCATTCACAGCTTTTCTTTGTCTTCTGATGAATCTAATTAAAGCCGTCGTTAGAAACCTGCTGACGTGTCGACGACAACGTCACAACAACCGTCTCAAAACGTTTCTTCTGCTGATTGGATCTGAACCGCTTCTTTCATTAAAACGTTAAAACTCAAACTTTTCTTTGTGGTCGTCGACTGAAACTCGTTTAATTCAGACGTTAAATGTTAAATGATGATTTTAAATAATAAAACTCTGGACTCGTTATTTCTCGTCCTGCTGACTGAACTCGTTCATTTACAGACGATTTTCTTTGCTTCAGAATCAGAACCAGAACTCTGCTATCACATATTTATTTTATTCAGACATGAATCATTTATTTATACTCAAACATTCGGGTCAGAACCTCCTTCAGAACCTGCTGATTTAACTGTAACTGAACATTGGGACCTGATTGGAGCAGAAAGTCGTTAAACCTGAAGGAGCCTCATTATTCTGTTTATGAGATTCTAACAGACGGTGTTCTGATCGGGATGAATCGAATGTGAGCGCAGCAGCAGAACCCATCAGAACGGTCCAGAACCATGCAGAACCGTGCAGCCAGCGCCGGCTGAGCGGCTGCAGCTCTGATCGCTGCTCAGGCTTCATGTAAATGTGAGCGTTTATGTAACACTGCAGTGAAACAGAGAAACGGCGTCGAGCAGAAACCGAGCTGCTGATGTCAGAGAAAAAAACACCTCCGAGGAGAAACCCAGCCCGGTTCTGGATCCGGTGCTTTACAGCCTTTATTTCTTTATGTATTAAGACACTCAAAGCAAAGGTCCTGTTAGACATCTGATGAGTTAATTCTGTGCAGATATTTACTAAAAACAGTCAATTATAATTAATTATCATTATTATATTACATTATATATTTTATCATTATATATTATTATAATTAGTGTTATTATAACGACTGATGATGATTTAAAGTCAGACCTTCAGCTGGTAAAAATCAGACTTAACGTTTTGAGTCTGAACCGGATCAGAACCAGAAACCTGCTGATTCACTGCTTTTATATAAATTAACTGAAATTCAACAGAACATCTGCTGATTAAAGTCTTCTGTGCTGAACATCTGGAAACGATCCTTTAAACAGTTTTAATCGTCTGACGTAGAAATCAGACATTTTAACGCCTGTTTTAAACCTTCACACAGATTCTGATGTTTGAAAGAATCAAATCAAAACTTTCATTTGAAAATCTGCTGATTTCACAATTTAATCTGCTTCCTCTGCAGAACTTTATTCTTTTAAATATAATATAAACTGTGTTTGGACAAGTGACTGTTTATTATTATTGTCATTATTATTGTTGTTGTTAGCATTGTTGTTGTTAGCATACGTAGCGACTGCTTCGTCCATTTAATGAACGCCGTCTTCAACTTTAAACGTTTCACAACAAAACCACTGCAGACAGCGTTGAAGCTAAGCTAGTTAGCACTAATCCTGAAATGATAACACTATGCTATGCTAGCAGCAGCTCTGTTAGCCTACGCTAGTTAGCATCAGTGCTAAAGCCGTGATTTTACTGCTAACATAGAATCAATACTTCAGATGTTCATACATGTGGACTGAAGCCGACCAGAGCTGAGGATCGATCACATGAGATCATCTCAGATCCAAACTCGTGTTTGTGTGACTCATGACAAAGGAACGAAGGTTTGATTCTACGGAGACGTTCGGCGCCGACCAGCTGCTCGCACGAACCGACAGAACCGACAGAACCAACACAGACCCGGAGACACTGACAAAAACCAACAAAACAAACAACAAAAAACAACAAAAACAACAAAAAAACTAACAAAAGATGAAAAGAGCCGACAGAACGCAAAAACCAACAACGATTTTAAAAAATGCAGAAAAAATGACAAAAATGAACAAAAAAACAACCAAAAAAAAGACAAAAACAAGAAAAATTGATTTAAAAGAAAAAGTCTAAGAACTGACAAACAACAACAAACAACAAAAACACAAACAAACCAACAGAAAACAACAAAGCTGATTGAAGCCCGTCAGCTTTGTGTGTGTTTGAGTTTCAGGTTTTGTGTGTTTCAGGTTTTGTGAGTCTTCAGCTGCACCGGAACTCACACTTGTTGAACTTTGCTTCCTCTCAGCAGGACGATAACACTGTTAACACACACAAAGCCCTGTGTGTGTGTGTGTGTGTGTGTGTGTGTGTGTGTGTGTGTGTGTGTGTGTGTGTGTGTGTGGCGCCAGCTGAGCCATATTCATATTCACTGTTTCCTGCCTGCAGATGTTAAAACAACACAATCCAGACTTCAACACCCAGCGAGGAACCGATTTGTCGTCTCTGGTTTTTCCTTCCAGTCAGAACTCTGATCAGAAAGCTGCTCGTTAGGCTCGTTAACGTTAAAGATCCTTTGATGTTTCTCACACGGATCACCGTCCTCCACCGCCTGCCCGAGGCCCGGCTCAGGTGTGCCTACCTGTCGGTCGCTCAGCAGGTAGATGTACTGGTGGTCCGGGCTGAACACCATGTCCCTCAGGATGGGCTTCCCCTCCACCACCGTCACCGTCTCGTACAGCAAAGCATTCTGGGCCGGCGGCGGGATCCCGTCCACGCGGATCTGAAACACACAACCGAGAGCAGCTCGTTAGCCGCATGCTAACAGGACCCCCTTAGCTCGATGCTAAATCGCCAGTTAGACACAATGAGGAACGCTAACAGGATGGAGGAGCAGAAAAACAGCACGCTAGCATTTTGTTAGCTGCTTCTATTGTTTAACATGCACATGTGTTAGCCTGCAGGAATGTAGCATTAAAACAAGCTAATGTCGCTAACATGAGAATTACTAAAATACAAATAAAGACATGATGAAATAAATACATGAGGTTCCTGTGAAACATGAACACAGTCAGAACGCAGATTTAAAGTTTCAACAGATTTCATAAAAAGATTAATATTTAAATTAAAACAAATCAAAAACTTTCTTCTAGAAAATGTTCTCGAGACGTTTCTCTGAAAATAATTATTTTCTTAATTAGAATAAAATAAATTCTCTCGTTTCGTTTCCACGTGAAGAAAGTTTTCATTCAGTCAGAACTTCATCACATCAACTCAGATTCACTCATTCACACTCTCAGTGATGACGCCTGTCCTCCGATCAGCCAATCAGCCAATCAGCCCATCAGCCAATCGCCGATCAGTCGACCAGTCGATCAGCCGTATTGATCTCAGCAGAGATCTAACGAAGCCTAACGAAGACGTCTCACTCTGAGCGTGCAGCACCACTTCTGACAAACACACACGGCATTTCACAGAAGAGAGCGAGTAATGGGA